AACAACTTCGAAATGAAATCAAAGAACTTGAAAGGTGAAGAATAAAATACTGTTGACTTTATTTTGATAGAAAGTTTTATTTCTAATTTATATAGATCTTTAGAAACAACTGGAAATGAACTTAATTATGAAAAACAAGTGAGAAGTGCGCAACTTGTTTCTGCTGCACCATCTGAAGATATCAGGTAAAATCTTTCAAAAAAACAAACTATTCACTTGAAATCTATTTTACTCTTTAGCTCTTCGATTGTCGAAGATTATCAAAAGCAGATTGATGAACTTGAACAAAAACTATCTGAAAACAATGAAGAACAAAGTTTATTACGTGAACATCTAAATAAAGTTGAAGTTGAACTGAAAGAAACAAAACATAATCATGAATTAACATTGACTAAATACAAAGAAGAATTCTTATCTCTTGTAGAAGAACGAAATGAATTGATTGAACAACAAACACTTTCTTCAACAGAACAGTAAGGCGCTTTTATATCGGAATGCTTCATTTGTAAGGTGTCGAAAAAAATTCAACAACAATATATTTTTCATTTTTCTCTATAATGTTAAACAATAATCTCAAATTCAGATAATAATTTTTAATAGCCAATCGAATTTTCTATCGAATGCATTCTATAGCAAGATTTCGTATGTGAACTATAATGGCAAGTATTAAGGGATAAGTTCCTATGAAACCTTCCCATATCACAAAAACTGGATCACTTTTAATGGTAAACCGCGGTAAACCACTGATTTTCATTGCATGGATTCTTTGCTTTTATTTCATAAAAACATACGCGCCGCACCACACCCACACGATAACTATACTACATCGGACCAACCAGACCAGAGAAAAATGCTCGTATATATATTATCACATGCATCCAGGGTTAACGAGAGAGAAAATCAAGACAACAAAAAGGTGACAATGTGATCGAAATATATCACATTAAAGAAAAAGAATCGCAATCTATATGAAATCAAGGACGAAAGAGTAAACAGATGCATAAGAGAAAGGAGAAAACAGAAGACACGCTGTGAAGACGACACCTGTAACAGCAAGATTTCTAAAAAAACAGATACGGTAGTTTTCAGGATTCAGATATTTTTAACAATGCCATTTTAAAAAGCACGAAATTCTGAATAAAATGAGAGGCCGCCACATTTTCTACGGCTTTCCGTTAACAAGTTAAAAGTATTACAAAAAACGTAAAAACAATCGAAAAGCGACTAAGAGTTCTTCTATAGGACGGGATATATATAGGTTTGTGCAGGCAAACTTCCTCTGTATCATAGTGTTTACATTACCAAATTCTAATACATAGTGTTACGTGTCAATAGATGGTACCGTGGGCACGGCGAAAATAGCATCATCTATTGATATACGAACGATCCGCAGTAGAACTTCATAGTACAAAGGCTATTAGATAGAGAAAGTCTTTCTTTACCATTCTATATACTTAAAGCATACCAAAAGTTCTGGCCACGGCATTTAAAGGACCTTGTCGGATAAGGCAACCTGTTCAGAAATGAAAAATCAAATATACCATGTTGTAGATCATTTTGAGGTGTGTCAAGTAATATATAGTAAATCCTGTTTTCATAAGACTTTAAAGGAACTAGAGTCAACTTACTGATAGACAAGTACACATCTACACTCAAGCATGATAAGTTTCTGAATATTATGGTCTTTGATATTAGTCGAAAGTATTTGTAAAATATTTTTTCTCACATACGATGTTGTACATTTTTTGACAGGCTACAACCTCATATATGTAGCATCTCCAATCATCTTGTGGGCGTGCAATTGTTTATCAGTAAATTGACTCTAGTTCCTTCAAAGTCTTATGAAAACAAGATTTAATATATACCATTCGACGCATCTCAAAAAGCTCTAGAACATGATACATTTGTTTTTTCATTTCTGAATAGGTCACCTTATCCGACAAGATTCTTTAAATGTCGTGGTTAGAACTTTTTGTATGCCCTAAGTAATCCCTCCTCTAGTGAAATTCTTATAGTTGTCTTTCGTTTTTTTACGGTTTTTGTGGTACTTTTAACTTTTTAAGAGGAGGTCGTAACAAACGCGGTGACTGTTCGTTTTGTTCACAATTTTGTACTCTTTAAAATAACATCGTTAAAAATATTCGGAACCTAAAAATTACCGTATGTGGTGTTTTAGAAACCTTGCCATCGTAGTTCTTCCTTGAAACCTTGGTATCTCAAGTCCAATAAAACGGTGTCGTAAACGACGCTGTAATCCGTCATACCAGATTACGGCGAAATAAGGCCAAAATTAATGCAGTAATTCGTCGTTTTATAGCTGTTTTAGGCCGGATAAGATGCTATTTCCGACGACCGGAATGGTCTACCTAGGATAGAATGCGTAAGATTGAAAACTCTATAGACTATTAAAATTACTATCTAGATTTGAGCTAGCTGCTTAACATTATAGACGAAAATAAAAAATACATTCTTGTTAAACTTTTTTTTACCACTTTACTTATTAAAATAACAAATTTTAGTCAACGAGAAGTTGAACAATTGAAAAAGGACAATGATCAAATACAAGAAGAATTAACTAAACTCAAGCAATTACCTGATTATCAACATGTAGAAATTCAAACACATGAAGAGTAAGAGAAAAATTAATTTAATCATTCTTTCTGTATTCTCCCTAAATTTTCTTTTCATTTAGTA